TGATGGGACTACCATCTACAAGAACACGCTCTATTAGCAACCACATTGTAGTAAGCAACGAAGAAATCTTGGGATATCGATGATGAAATTTTCGATGTAGACGAAGACTCTGTACAAGATAAGAGAGCAAAAACCATATTGAAAGAGACTAACTGTCCTGAATAAAGACAAGCATTATGAGATGGATCTGCTCTGGAAGCATGATGTACACAATTTACCATGCAACAAGCCCATGGCACAAACAAGACTCAAATATCTAAAGGCTAAACTCGACAACAACGATGACTTAAAAAAAAGTATGCCAAGACACTTGATTCTTATATCACCAAGGGTCATGCTGAACCTGTCACTAATAACGGTGAAGAAGGTAACGTCTGATACCTACCTCATCATGCTGTTATTCATCCAAGAAAACCAGACAAGGTGAGAGTAGTCTTTGATTGTGCTGCGAAGTGGGGTGGAACTTCAATCAATGATAACCTATTGAAAGGCCCTGAAATGAACAGCAACCTGATTGGTGTTCTACTGCGATTCAGACGAGAGAAGATTGCCTTAGTTGCAGATATCGAATCGATGTATCATCAAGTGTATGTTACTCCACGTGATTGTGATGTTCTGCGGTTCTTGTGGTGGGAAGGTGGTAATACAAGCAAACCAGCCCAAGAGTTTCGAATGGAAGTTCATGTCTTTGGGGCTACTTCATCTCCATGTTGTGCAAGAAGTGCTTTGATGAAATCAGCGGACGACAATCTAGATGACAATCGAGACGACATAGGCAAAGCAGCCATAGAAATAATTCGTAGTAATTTTATGTAGACAACTGTCTATCATCTACAGGTGACACCAACTTTGCTATACAACTAGTTGCTAGACTATGCAGTATTCTGAGTAAAGGAGGTTTTCGATTGACTTAATTGATTAGCGATGACAGAAGTGTGATCAGCAGTATTTCCGAGACTAAAAGAGCGAAATCTGTGCCTGTGAGTCTGGAGAAATTACCAAGTGAAAGAACGCTAGGTGTATGCTGGAATGCAAAAATGATGTGTTCCATTAGTATAATACCATTTAAGATAAGATGACACTGGTATTCAGTCGATCCATATTCTTCTCCGACAGTCTAATAGCTTTATCGTGGATACACAATCCAGACTCTTCAAATCATTTGTAGCTAATAGAGTTGCGGAAATACAAAGTCAAATTGATCCATCAGACTGGCGCTATACACAGGTGAAAATAACATTGTCGATCAAGTTTCTGGAGGGATCACGGTCAACAACCTGGAAAACGACTGGAAATATGGACCCAACTTTTAAAGCTCCCAGAGGAGCAGTGGCCTTGGTCAATTCCCATAGCTGATACCATAGAAATCGACCTAGAAAAGAAGAAAGGGAAAACCGATTGTTAGAGCACATGAGAAAACCATTGACTGTAAGAAGTTTTCCTGCTGGAGAAAATTAATCGGGGTGACAGCGTATGTTTTTAGATTTATCTTTAACCTGAAAGCTAGATGCAGAGTAAACGATGGTTTACTGTCAGCTGAAGAGTTGACTGTTGCTGAAGATTATTAGATATTTAAAGCTCAGAAACCACTTAATGCGCGAATGCAAAAGGGTTAATTTAAATCCCTACTTTTTCCCGAAAGAAAACCTCATATATGTACCAGGAAGCGTGTCTAACAGTACACTGTCTTATGACCAATGGCATCCTGTCCTATTACCGAGAGAGGATCTTAGTTCTTATTTGATCAGACTCATATTCATGTAAACCCCCGACGTTTATATACTTTAACTTTTACTCATCCGGTATATTATACAAACGCTTTTAAATTTTCATCTAACAATTTTCCAATTCAGTTTGCTTCATTGCCCTCTGATATTAAAGATGATGCTGTTATTTGTTCGTACAATTCTTTTTTTTGTAAACTTAGACAATACTTACTGAATGAACGATAATTTTTAATTTTTTGGTATTGGCCTTTCATTATTATTATTGTTTTTTACTGATTTTAAATTTCCCTACAATTTTATGGTTATGTTGTAAATAATTGTTTTGTAATTTTACTGTACTGTTCTTGTTCCAAAGGTTGTGTGCACCACTTGTGGTGTTATGGCGCACTGTTGCTGACGCAACCCTTGGGCCGTTTGTGCCAATGAAATAAATGAAATGAAATGAAAACTTCGGAGTTGCGACAATGGCTTACCAAGTCAGAAGAGATATTGGATTGTTGGTATGACAAATCTGGTGAAACTGTGAAATTTTGTTGTGTTAGCTGCTGAACCATCGAGCACCAAGCAGAAACGCAACTTATATCTGACCTTGATCATTAGAAACTCGTGTCAGAAGCAGGGAGATGGATGGATGGTACCTTATCCATTTTTCTTGTTTTCATTTATTTATGTGAAAACTTTGTTGCAAATCACTCGACAACAGAAATGGTAGCAGGACAGCGTAATGGACTCCACTCTCAATTTATTGCAAAATGCAAAACCTGTGGGAAATCATCGGAGTTTGAAACATCTACTTTGCGGATAACCAACCTACACTAGGTCGATCTTTCGAAGTCAACCAAAGAGCTGCATATACCATGTCTGAATTAGGACTGGGAAGAGAGTCAATGGTCACTATTTGTAGTATATTTATTATGCCACCTCCACCAAATCCTAAAAGTTGGGCAGACCATGTAACCGCAATTCATTCTGCATTACACGAAGAGATAACGGAGGAGTTGCGAAATGCTGGATCACGTCTGCGGGAGAAAATGTTAGCAGATCAACATATAACTGAACAAGATGCCCCAGTAAATGTCAACGAGGGCACTTATCAAACTTTGGAGTGGGTGTAGCAATATTGGTGGACACAGGAGAGATCACTGATTTGTTACGAATGTCAGAAATGGGAATACCTGAAAGGCTCGAATATATACGACGAATGGAAAGCCAGTCATGAAGACAAATGTCTAAAAAACTATGATGTTCCAGCCATAGTATGGAAGTAGAAGCAGCCAAGAGGATATGAAGCAGATCCATTGATCTCCATCAAATGCAATACAAATGGCTTGTAGCAGATGGTGATGCAAAGATTTTAACAGCCTTGAAGGCAATGAAGCCCTATGGTGACGATACAGTCAAAAAGCTTGACTGTATAATTCACGTCCACAAGCGACTTGGGACCAACCTCCGCAACCTCAGAAAAACAGAAAAAAACGTGAAAGGAGGGAGGGGTGGACTAACAGATGCCTTCATAAAGAAGTTGGGCGATTTTCATAGAAGTGCGATTTATAATATTATCACACACTCAACTGATGAAAATGACAGGAAGAAAGCTGCACTCAATATGCAAAAAAGGATCATGGCTGGGCTATATCAAACAAACAAACTTTGCTGACAAGGAAGAACAGCACCAATACTGTGTAGGTACCCAATGGTGCAAGTAATGATAGTGAATCCTATAAAGAAGGTGCCCGACTGCCTTCTTACTTTCTGCCCTATATGAAACATGTTTATGAAAGGCTCAGTAACATAAAATTACTGCAACGCTGCTTGCCAGGACTGACAAAAAACTCAAATGAGTCTTTCAACAGTTTAAATATGGGCAAGATGCCCAAAGGAGGGAAATTTTGGACCCAAATTTTTAAACAGAGCCGTGTATTCGGATATTCTGCATTGGAACATTGGTGCAACAAGTCATGAACATGTGATGAAGAGGATGGCTCTATCAGTAGGGCAACACACACAAATCATAAATGATAAGGAGGACACGGACAGGATAAATCAGTCTGTGCATAGAGCCCACTGATGCCCAAAAACAAAAAAAGAAAACAAAAAAAGGATGTTCGGAGGAGCACCAGTTAGAAATTGAGGGGCAAACTTACGGCAGCGGACTTTTTGGAGACATTTTAGACTAGAAAAAAATAATTAAAAAAATATCAAAAAACATATTGTAGACCTTGGGTGTATGTTTTGTTATGTTTCAAAGCTTTAAGCATCATGAAAATGTAATTTATTAATTTGAATTAATAATATTGTACTAAATTCTATGAACAGAACTTTACACGGCATTTTCTCGGAATACTATATTTTAATGACATAATTGTTAATAACTTCACAACAAATAATCAGATTGTCATGAAACTTGGCAGGAATGCTCTTTACAGCAAAGGTTTCAATTTGATTATCCAAAATTTCCGTATGTGTTATACCTTTCATTTTATGAACAAAATATATTGCTATGTTTTCACATGAATCTGGAAATTTTTCATTAGGTCATCATTTGGATTCGCATTTATATATAGCTAAAAGCCATGGCCAGCCATTGCTTGATAAGTGAACATTACTTCATGTGTAAATATGAATGCCATACCTTGAGCATTTGAAGATTGACGGTCCATTTTTATTTTGAAAACTCCGAGTTATGGTTTAAATTTACATACAATCTTGTAGAGTATTTATTCAGCTTCAATTTGGTATATAAATTGATGCATTACAGTCACTAATACATTTTTTATAATTTTTTTTACACGTGGGTCCTAAAATTATCCGTTACCAGGAGTATTGCCCCCTTAATTAAGAAGTTCATGATGCATATTTAACCTTTATAACTGAGGACAAATTTGCGGCAGCAGAAACACGGATGCAGGAATGTCAAGTTGACTTGACACAAGTTGCAAAAAGTGCTTGTCAGAAAATGGGATCAGCACAACAAAAAACAGTGTCTAATAGTGTTGACGCTAAAGAGAATGTAAATGTTGTTATAGATTCTAAAGAGAACATGGGATCAGCACAGCAAGATACAGTGTCGTGTCATGTGGATGCTAAGGAGCCTAATGTAAATGATGCTATCGATTCTAAAGAGACTATTGTTAAAAGATTTTCTGTGCATGCTATGAAGGAGCTGAAACTGTCATTTGAGTTAATACCTAAGACCGTCATACCAGAATTTTCAGGTGATTCAAGTAAATACTGGTATTTTATGTCAAATTTTAAAACCAACTAAATAATAATCAAATTAAGTTACATTATCTTGTGCAGTTCTGTACTGGTGAGGCTAGGGCTTGCATTGAAGTGTGCACATTAAGGGGATAAAGGGTATGATCAGGCCTTGAGCATATTATTAAAGACTCAGTTCGGCCAACCTCATTTGGTGTTACATTCCCTAATGACTAATACCCCATTCAGACTAGATCGGTTGTAGCAATTGTTGCACCCAATCGCAAAGTAAAATTGTGTCTGAAAGCTCACCAATAGTAGTCGATAAGTAATCGTTTTTCAATTGTTACCCATCGCAATTGGGTGCTACAATCTTTATTACTCCCGATTACAACGGAATCCAATCGCAACGGATTCCACATGCACTGATTGGCTGAGGTCAAACAAAACAGGATGACCTATATCGTTGCTAGTGATGTAATGTATCAAAGTAAAAAGGTGTCTGAATGCTGTCGAAGTTTGCGAATGGTTGCGAATAATTTGGATTACAACTGTTTAGCACTGATTATATCGCAACTGCTTGCAATGCAAAGTCTAGTCTGAATAGGGTATAAATTAACTAAGCGAAAACCGATAAGTTTAGGAGATAATAATGGTTTGTGGAAACTAGTTGGGGATATGAAACAATGTGAAATAACGCTAAACCAAATACGATATACATGCGACTTAAATAGTACTTCTAACATTCTACAAGTGCAAGTCTTACTTCCGAGAGTGATACAAGCTAAATGGGTGTCAAAAGCACATGGAATTGTAGAGAAAAATGAACTATAACACTTCATGATATGTTAGAGTTTATTGAAAAACAAGCAAAGATAACAAGTACTACATGTTTGGTAGACATCTAAAGTTGTAAAAACTCTAAACCTGTAACTAGATAGAAGACCTATCACAGTAATCCAGGTGACATGAAATTTAAGGCCAAAACAAATTATCATGGTGCTACAAATAAGCCTAATCAGCAAAGTAACTGTCCTTGTTGTAATGAATCATGTAGGTTAAGGGAACGTTCAATGTTCAAGGCCAAAAAATAGACTTTTTTTGCTTTAAAAGTCTGGGAAACCATATAGCAAAGAATTGTTTAAGACAAAACCGAAGGGAGTCTCCCAGGGAAGGGGAGCATCAATGTAACATTACCAATTCAAATGTAACTAGTTAAGTCAGGCAGCTTCAAAGAATCTCTGACACTAAAGAAAGGCCACTTAACTACATGGTGCAAACAAATAATGTATCACTAAGGATAATTCCAGTGGCAGCAAAAAAATGGTACAAAACATGTACACATTACTGTTCTATGAGACAATGGAAGTTTGTTGTGTCTAGAAATAATCTAGCACCCTCTGTTGGCAGGTACTGTAATGTATAATGAAGAAGACAGGTTGTCGTCGTGAATAAAGGTAGACACGGAGTTACATTTTGCGAGTAAATTAATTTATTTCTAGTCCTTTATAATACTACAACACAACAATTTGGCGACGAGGACGGGATTATGGCTTCGATTCCACCGCCTCCATTTTTTCTACAAACTCCAGGAAATCCTCCCGTGCATTGGGAACAGTGGAGAGGTATGTTTGAAACTTACATGGTTGCATCAGCAGCTACATGCTACAGTGTGGAAAGAAAACGTGCATTGCTTCTACATTGCTTAGGAACGGAGGGACAGCGAATATATCACTCGCTCCCTGATAATGATGTGGCCGCTCACCTGGCACAAGCTCAGGACAGTAATGCAGCTCTTTTTGATATTTATGAAGTTGCCATTGATAAGTTAAATAATCATTTCACACCCAAGCTAAATGTGGTAGCCGAACGTTATAAATTCAGAAGTCGTCATGAATAAAGGTACACACGGAGTTACATTTTGCGAGTAAATTAATTTATTTCTAGTCCTTTATAATACTACAACACAACAAAGTTCAAACAGTTAAATTAATAGTTAGAATGGACCTGTGTAGGACTAGTTAAAATTCTCTGGAATGATACTAAACATCAGTTACCACCTAGTAACTTTTATTCAGCTGCCCAGAGACTTTAAAATGTGATGTGATTCAAAGGAAAGGGGGATTAGAAAGAGTTATGGAAAGAAATTAACATAATTAGAAAAAGCAATAGGAACAGTTTTAACGATTTCGTAATGAAGTAAAAAGAGAGAAAACAAAGGGCGAAAGATAAGTTAAGGGCATCTTTTAGTGCTATAACGAAAAGCTATGCTCTATGTTGTTGCGAGTTTGTACAACTACTACTACTTTTATTTAAAAAGTCATTACAATTGGGTCTTGCAGTAGCTGGTAGTGTGGTCCAGAATTTCTGATATGCCCAATTGAACAGTGGCCTATTGAACAGAATATTAATGACAACTTTCCAGAAAGAGTAAAATGGGTGGTCACTACCTAACGGAATAAATGCTGGCAGACGTAGCAGTTACCAAAAGTTACTGAGAGTATTAAAACTGGAAGAGTTCTCTTTATATATGAAAAGAAAAAATTGAGCAGTGCAACAGGAAAGATCACTGTAAAAAAGGTTCTGAAACAGGCAGAAAACTTCTGGATAAAGGAATCACAGAAACCAATGATGACACTGCTGATAAAAGACAAGGCTCATATTGATAAAGCCCAATGATCCATGAAGATGGAATGATTGTCATGGGCGGAAGGATCAGGAGTCATGTTCACTTTGTTGCATTTAAGGAAGAAGTGCCTTTGTTACCATATGATCGTGCATTTATGAAGTTATATGCCAAGAGCGTACATGATAGGGCTCACTTTAGGAGTAAGAATTACTTTTATTAATTACTACAGAGAATAGTCAAGAACATAAGGTACCATAAGGTACTTACCTTTAGTGAACTTCAAGCCGCCATGTTTGAAGCGGTGATCCTCGCAAGTGAGAGGCCAGTTGGTAAACATCCGATGGACCCAGCGTGAATAGTCAATGATTTTTTAGCTTAATTTCGATAATTGTAGAATCATAGGTAATGATTGTTTTACCATGCAAGTTGGCGATGTTAAGTTAGGCAGTTTTTTTTTGCTATAGCCATGCACTCATCTGTAGATAGGACATAAAGCTGTGTTGCATCAAGGCCGGGTTTAGGCTACCGTATAATTTATTTATGATTTGAGTATATTTCAATTGTTAATGAACACTTAATCGTTAACTGCAGTGGATTATTGATGTTTTAAGGCATGGTAGATTATAAATACTGGTTGTGAGTGAAAGAAAATCGTAAACTCTGTGATATTGTAGTGTTCTTACAACGCGAGTTTAGTTGTCACGCTTGAGTGACTTAGTAGTGTACCACTGCTAAGCCAACGACATATAACGTATGTTATATGTTGGATTGTTTATATCTTGCAGATTTTGAACATCAGAGATAATATTTAACGATCAACTCTGAAATTGAATTGAAAACAACCAAGTGATTTATTTTTGTGCTCTACACATACTATTTGAAGGCAATTTTCTTGTATTTTCATCAGTATGGATTAGCCCATTTTCTTTTTACAGATATCTATACTATAACTTTTCAAATGGGAATAAATGTGTCGTGTCTTTAGCAGATTGCATGTTTCTATTCATCGGCCACGACATATTGACATCGGCAACTGTTTCATTCTGACTGGTTGGTAGATCAGGATCTTCGTATGAACTTTGATAACGCCTTTTTAAACGTTCGCGGATCAGCAACGCCTTCGTGAGATGCCTCCAGTTCTTCAGGGCTCTTTGTTCTCGTTTCTGAATTAAATTAGAATGCGATTTCAAAATTTAAAAAATAATAATAAAATAACAATAATAATAGTATTCATGTTGGATCAATTTTGACAAGGATAAAAGGTAACAACATTCAAAATCTGAATATTTATTTCCAATGGAGTCCTTCTAGTGAAAACCAAAAGAAAGCAGCGGATAGAATTAACCGTTGACTAAAGGTTAACGATGGATCTACATGTCGTGGCGCATGCATAACGGCTACCACTAGTTTAGCCGACTGAGCTATGCTGCTCACGAAATGAGGGCCTATTGTAGGATACTACTTAAATATAATAAATTATAGTGATTCATTTTAATAATGGTGATTCCATTTTAATAATATAATAGTCACCTCTTTCTGCTTCTTTTCAATCTGGACCTGCTCATGTTCCCATGCTTCCACTAAAATTTCTTTGAACTCCTCACAAACAACAAATCCATCAAAACTAGGGTAGGGCAAAAAAAAACAAGATTCTGAATATATTGGAGCTAAATTTTAAGAGAATAATTTAAAAATTTCTTACACGACACAATATATACAAGATATATTTATTGTATTTTTAATAAGAGAAAACAGTTTGGTACACACATGAAGAAAAGAGAAAAAGACAATTATTTTATCAATTATCAACTGTTGATAACCCAATTTCTAAACTGATTGAATATCTGGACTGTAAATCATTGGAGATACCACACACTCTGGAAATAGTCTATAAAAGAGAATTTGCACATTTTTAGCTAAATTTTAATAAATCAGAAAAATTGATTAACTGTTAACTATTTAGACTGAAATTCATTACTGGAGACTCGTCCTGGATATGCTCCCTGAGTTCCTACCTAGTGGGAGATGGTACAATTCCATTTGTGTTCATTTGAAAATAAGTACTGATATAACATTTTTTTTGCATCCATATGCATACCAAACCAATGTATGTAAACCAATAAATATGTACTGTTTTTACGACACAGTAAGTGCCCCGCTTTAAATCTCTTGTCTTGCTAAGTTGACTCCACCAGTCAACTAGGCCCACTATCAAAGAACAATTAACAAATTGATACTTACACTGGATGACTAAAACCACAGTGGAAGTCCCATCCCACAACTGCTGGCACGCAATCTATGTCCAACTTCCGGGCTACTTTATTCAGACCATTAACTAACAAAAATATTTATAAAAATAAGAATTTAAACAACATTTTTAAACAGCATTTATGTATGATAATGCATGAATTTAAATATACCAACTACAAAAATTCAAATTATAATAACTAAACTAAACAACAACAATTAAATAATAAAAACAAAACAAATATTAATAGTGTAAAATAACAAATTATAAATTAATATCGATGTTATAATATAATAAACATTATAAAAAATATTGTATTAGCAAATAATATACAGTAACACCTCTCAATTATGTACCTCTCCGTCCGAACAGGGTTCGTAAATCAGAAAATTCATAATTCAGTGAGTTCAGTGTGGTTAGGGTAGGCCTTGGCCATGCTACAAAGTACAGGGCCAGGTAGACTAATTTTGTCACGAAATATGACTTGGATTTTACAGTTTTCGCAAATCCAGGTGTAAAGCCCCCACCCCCCAATCATCAAAAAGTGGGATTTACTGTAGTGTACACAGTATGCCTGAACAAGCATGCACAGCTCAAATATAATCTCGGCTGAAAATGATTTATATTTCTTGCTTTAAACTTAGTTTTATATCACTTTATGGTTTGAATGTTTTCTACCTTAGCTGATGTAACAATTTAAATTTTTTCAGGAGACTTTTAAATACATTTTAATTATTTCTGTAGTTAAAAACGATCGTTCGTAATGACGTCATTGCCGCAGATTTGTTTCATAAAATCGAGAGTTCGTAAATGAGGCATGTTGTGGCAAAATGGCTAAGTTGTAGCAAAAATTGAAATTCAAGTTATTGGTATTTTCAGATACCTGAGTATGTGATCTTTAAAATGAGGGGTCATTCATTGAAATTGGACATCTGTCTCTTATACACATCTTAGTAGTAGAACACACCTATATAATAATA